CTTCCTCCTTGGGCGTCGTAGGTTCACATGGGTTACGGACAACAATCCATTGACCTACTACAAGACGCAGGATACGGTGAGCAGCACGATCGGACAATGGATGTACTTCATCGACCAATTTGACTTCACACCGAAACATCTTCCCGGCCTCTCAAATTGCGCAGCAGATGCACTCTCGCGAAGACCTGATCTTTGCGCTATGACACATCATGCCTTCGCATTCGACGAGGAGCTTCAACGACACTTCATCAGGGGCTACGAGTCCGATCCAGATTTTGCCACGCTATATGCGCAGCTATCTTCGGATCACCCACCGGCCAGCCACTATCGCATCGCCGATGGGTACTTGCTCCTGCACTCGCGGGGCAAGGACTTATTATGTGTCCCACGCGACCGCCGTCTTCGGACTCGCCTCCTCGGCGAGTATCATGATTCGCGACTCGCCGGCCATTTCGGAGTCAACCGCACTATTGCACGGCTTCAACAACGATTCCGATGGCCCGACCTCATCACCGATGTCACGAGGTATTGCGACTCTTGCGAAGTTTGCCGACGAAGCAAACCCCGCAACCGCAACCCCTACGGCGAGCTGCGCCCAATGCCGATCCCGCAGGAACCCGGCCTCTCCATTGCCATGGATGTCACCGGACCATTCCCCCGCGACCGCCTCGGACACGACGACATCCTCACGGTCGTGGACCGATTGAGTAAGTATGCACGTTTTCTCCCTTGCAAGTACTACTCCACGGCTCCCAAGCTGGCACGCCTCCTGCACACCGGCTGGATTTGCGGCCATGGTGTACCGAAAGACATAGTCAGCGACACTCGCTTCATGTCGGCATTTTAGACTGCTCTCATGCAGGAGTCCGGCATGAAGATGAAGCCAAGTTTGGCTCGGTATCCACAGACAGACGGGCAGACGGAGCGGGCACATCAAACCGCTCAAATGATGCTTCGTACGCTCATCCGTCCGGACAAGAAAGATTGGGTTGACCGCCTCCCCGACATCGAGTTCGCCTACAACACTTCGGTGCACCCGGTGATCGGCGTGACTCCATTCGAGTTGCACCACGGTGGACGGAAAGGCCGTATCTTCGCCGACCTTCTCCTCCCACGACCAGCCGACATCGATGCCGCTTGCTCTCCCGCTTCCGTCCGGAAGTACAGGGAATTGCTGGCTCAAGCCCGCGCAAATACGCAAAAGGCTCAAGTCCGCATGCAGCAGCAAGCCAACAGGCATCGCGTGCCATGTCCCATCCGCGCCGGCGACCTGGTTTGGGTTTCCGCGGAAGAGTTTGCACTGGAACAGGATGTCTCACACAAACTGCTTCCCAAGTGGTTTGGACCATGGCTTGTAACATCAGCCGCGGGCGATGAGCCCGATGGCCCTTCATTTGTGATCAACATCCCCCCGCATCTGACGGTCCATCTAGTCTATCACGCCTCAAAGCTGGCAACATACACGCCAGCTAAGAGCGACGACTTTCCGGGCCGACGATCGCAGGACCCTCCTTCTATGGATGGTCATCAGGAAGTTGACCGCGTCATCACCGATCGCAACTACGGCAGCAAGCCACGACAGTACAAGGTTACATTCAAAGCCTGCGATCGCGACGACACTCGGTGGATTTCAGGAGCAGATTTGAAAGCATCCGCACCGCTGATCAACGCGCATTATGAGAAGCAAAGGTTAGCTCAGGAAGCTTCACGACCGGCCCCTCTCACCCGGACTGTGGTCCCTCCCTCAGACAGACAGCTTCGCCCTCGCAGGTAAGCTCGGTCTTTCAAGGAGGGGGGGGGTGTGGCATACTGCGTAGCCACACGGGCCCTGCAGGGCCCGTCCCACACTTTCAGCCTAAAAGCCTAGAAAATAGGGCTTGCAGGCCCCGGTCGTTTCAGCCTGAAACTGAAAACGAGGGCCTGCAGGCCCTATTCCGTTTTCAGCCTAGAGGCTTTTCAGCCTGAAACGGAGGGCCATTTTCAGGCCCTGATCGTTTCGACCGACCCTAGGACTCAGGCACAAAAACAGGGTTTTCGGAACAGGCTATCTTTAGCCTGTTCACCACGACAGCTCGAGCAGGAGCTGCAGCTGCAGACCCTGCCTCCCTTCGGCGTTGGCAAGAGCAGCCTCCTGGACTGCCTCGCCTGCAGTCAGGAGGCACCCGGTAGCACATAGGAAGTCCCATGCACTTCACGGGTAGGTAGTTGGACAGTAGGCACGAGTAGTCTTCAGGATTCAGCGCAGCGCTCAGGAGGAGCGCTGCAGGAGTAGCTTAGCGCTAGCAGTAGTCTTCAGCGCTGGGCGCTAGTAGCCATAGCAGTAGTCTTCAGCGCTGGGCGCTAGTAGGTGGTAGATCGTAGAGTTGGGAGAGATGGCTGGCGGAGGCCAGCGAGACTTACCTGTGGCGCCATAGCTCCAGCTCCATCTTCGAGGTACCTGCATCAAGGCGCCAACTTCACAGGTTAGTACTGGACTGAGAGAGAGAGAGAGAGAAAGAGTTCTTTTTCCTCTTCTTCTAAGTCCACCATCTCTTCTTCCCCTCTCACCACCTGACTTCTCAGTATCAGCGGACTACTACAGAGAGAGAGAGAGTTCTTCTTCTTCCTCTTCTAAGTCCACCATCTCTTCTTCCCCTCTCACCACCTGACTTCTCAGTATCAGCGGACTACGACAGAGAGAGAGTTGTGACTTGGGACTTGACGACATTGGATCCAGACTTGACAGTTGGGATTCAGACATTTCGACGAGGGACTATTTGGGCCTGTGCAGAAGACTTGGTGTTGACGACATTCCCATCTTCCCCTCCTCTTCGTCTAACCCCCTTCTTCTTCGTTTGTGTATGGTAGGGGCTGTCGCAGTCTTCCTGGGTGAAGCGCTAGACCCTATTCACACCATGTAACGATGATGATGATGTATGTTCAGGGCTGCATTGCAATATCGATTGTTCGGATCACTGATATCTAAGTCTTCCGCTACGCCATCTTGTACTTTGTATTGAGAGGTCGGTTCTTGTTCTGGTCAGCACCGTTACAGTATGCAACAGTTTGGTATCGGAGCGGAGCTCTCATTCAGAGGACCTGCTCAATCAAGTAGCCATCTTGCTTGATCTATTGATCACTCATTAGTAAATCGAGTAGGACTTCGTCAAATCTCTGAAAGTTTTTTTTCTCGCAACAACTATCTGAAAATTTCTGATATTCGCATTTCGTTTTACGTGAAAATTTCTGATATTGGTACTTCATTTTCAGGTAACAAATATCTGAAAATTTCTGATAAATTGCATTTCGTTTTGTCTCAAAATTCCTGACAGTAGCATTTCGTTTCTCTGATATTTTACATACATAGCTGAAATTTCTGATGTTAGTATTTCGTTCTCTAGACATATTGGGATAACGATAGAAGTGGTTATATTCTCGGAAACTGGAATTATTCTTTTCTGAAAATCGAATTTCCATTCTATCTCGCAATTTTTTTTGAAAACCGAAATCTTGCGAAGCCTACCAACATTCGATAGGCATATTCGGAGGTTGCCATATTCTCAGAAACGGGATTTAGTTCTTTTCTGAAAATCGCATCTCTATTCTATCTCGCAAWTTTTTTTTTCAAGATCGCATTTTGTGAAAGCCGAAACTTTGCGGAACCTAGCCTAGATCTCGTTCATAGTACTCTTCTGACATGTCTCACTCATAACAGATCGACAGACATACAA